TTCTAGAGGAAATTTGAGTAAAATAAAAATATCCCCTTTGTACGAAAGGAATTGGGTATGTTGACCTATAGTTTACTTGTTGTTTATTAAATAAGTATTTTAATTAAAGTACCATATTTTGGTAGGCATAGCAAGAAGGCCACGTCAGTTAAAGATAAGAGCTGAAAGCATATAAGCACGAATCTTATTTTATTATACTCATATAAACGTATTATAACAATACGTGTTAGGCTTTAATTGTAAGGACATATATGTCTTCAGGTATAAAGTACTAATTATTATTTTACTAAAAAATGCAATTATGCAAAAAAAAAATTAAAGCCCGGTTAACATAAAAGTAATGTAACCGTTTTGTAATCGGTAGAAGTAAGTGCGATACTTACACAGGGCTTAGACCCAGTGGTCAAGTTGGTTAAGACATAACATTTTCACTGTTAAAACAAGAGTTCAAATCTCTTCTGGGTTATTAGCGGGTTAGTGTAATGTTAACATTTTTGGCTCATGACCAAAAGATTGAGGTGCAAATCCTTAACCCGCTTGTTTAGGGAAATTAGCTCAATGGTAGAGCAGTCGTTTTACACACGGATTGTTGAATGTTCAAGTCATTTATTTCCCATAGTTTACTTTTATCTTAAATTATACATTAAACTATATAGGTGGATATAGTTTAATGGTAAAACAACTATTTGTGGCATAGTCTATTCTTGTTCAAATCAAGGTATCCTCCCTTTACTAAGTCTCTATAGCTCAATGGTAGAGCAATATACTGTTAATATATCGGTTAGGTGTTCAAATCATCTTAGAGACGTATCAGTTCAAAAAAGGCTATAGCTTAATGGTAGAGCCAACTGCTCATGACAGTTAAGGTGAGTGTTCAAGTCACTCTGGCCTTATGGTTAATACACCAATTAAATTCATACAAGTATACTTGACTTAAAAAAAAGATAACTTAGTAATAAAAAAAAATCAATAATAAACATAGTAATATATATAAAATCACATTAAATCCTTATCAGCATTCTAACCGATGTGCTTATATGTAAAAATTAACTTAATCATAAAATATTGTGTTTAGGTCACAATAATACAAGTTAAAATTTTGTATATAATTTTGCATAATTATGTTTAATTGAATCCGAGTGCTGGAATTGGTAGACAGGACGAACTTAAGCTTCGTTGATTTCAATCATAAACGTTCAAGTCGTTTTTCGGATATAAAAAATAGGAAAACTAAAAAATTTTTTTTTA